TTATTAATTTGTTTAGAAAAAATAAAAGAAATTAATTTATCCAATATAAAAAAAAAAGTTCGGTTCTTATTCGGTTCTTCGGTTCTTGGTCGAGAACCGAGAACCGAACCAAACCATTCGGTTCTCGATTCGGATACCCGTTCGGGTATTTCATTTTTAAAAACCCGCTCGGTTCGGTTCGGTTCCGGTTCGGTTCGGTTCGGTTCGGTTCGGACATTTTGCCCAGCCCTAGTTGAAATTCATACATTGAATTTTAGAATTCTTTAATTTGGAATGTGAATTTTAGCCATAAATTTCGAAATTAAGAATTTTTCACGCAATAATTTTGGGTTGAACTTCATAATTTGGATTCCTCAATTTTAGGATATGAATTTTAACCCCAAAATTTAAATTTTCGAATTTTTTGGGAAGTTTTCGAAATAAGGATGAACAAAGGTAGCTGGAGCCCCTGCACCAGGCACTGCGGCACTGCAATGCCTGGATATTTAAAGTTAGGGATTAAAGAGCAATCAATTTCAAATTTTGATATTTAAAGAAAAGGATTAAGGAGCAATCAATTTCAAATCTTGATATTTGAAATTTTTTTCGAACTACTAATTTTCTAAAATAGATTAATTGAAACAATATGTTACCAAAATAACATCTTTTGTCTAAATTAATTTATTTAAAATATTAGGAAGGTTATTTGTACGTAATTCATGCGAGTATTAATCGAACCAAATGAATGTCAATATTTGATTGAATTATCTGCACACATGTTGTAATAAATATGTGACAATTATAAAGTATCTTTTTATATGAACATTGAGTTGTTCTTAAGGATAGACTTAATGTTTGACGTGGTTTATTGTCAATATTTGATTACTATATCAAGAGTATAACTTACAAGTTGATATTTCTATCCAAAAACTAAATGTCAATGTTGTGCCCGGTCTCTTGTGATGGAACCCACCCTTATTTGAATTATTGATTGTTCAATATGGAATCCCATGTGAACATGTTAATTACGTTTAAGTTTTATATTCAGTTAATCTATCAAGTTTTGCAATATTTGTTAATATCAAATCAATTTATGTGCTTGAACCAAGGTTTAAAGACTGAAAAGAGAACGTTTGTATCGTTCTTGGCGACATGGATCTAGATCTTGTGGTAAGAACTGAACAACCCACTAATCTGAAAGATAAAAATTCTGTTAATAAAAAGAGGACTCAGATAAATGGGATCGTTTAAGCCACACAAGTCTTATGATCATGAAGTGTGGAATTTCAGCAACATTCAGGGGCACTCTTTCCAATAAGATAACTACTATCAAAGAATTTCTTAAAGAAATTGAA